TGACTGGGCATGGTGGCTCATGCCTCTAATCCCCAGACTTTGGGAGGCCGAGGTGGGGGGGATCATCTGAGATCAGGAGTTTGAGACCAGCCTGGCCAACATGGTGAAACCCTGTCTCTACTAAAAACAAAAAATTAGCTAGGTGTAGTGGCACATGCCTGTAGTCCCAGATACTCGAGAGGCTGAGGCAGGTGAATCATTTGAACCCAGGAGGCAGAGGTTGCAGTAAGCTGAGATCATGCCACTGCACTCCAGCCTGGGCGATAGAGTGAGACTCCATCTCAAACAAACAAAACAAAAACATACTTATTAGGTGCTCAGTAGAGTACTATGCAAATGTCGGTTCCTAATTAATAAGCTTTCTTTGCTGATAAATGGAAAGGCAGTCTCATACACATTACTTGAGAATCCAGGAGGACCTGTGATTCAAGGTATAAAGTTGAAGGTGGTAACCAGAAAACAAGTCCTATGTGTTCTTGTTATGAAAAAAAAAATCAGACACATTTTTCAATAACCAATTATGATAATGCCAGTGTGCTACCAAAATAATAAGAAAACAAGGGTTAAAACTTTTCAGCAGAATTGGATTTTCACAGTTAAATAGCCTTAATATAGCAAAATACAATACATTCTCTGCAGGTGGATCTCTTGCTGTTTCAATCCTTTAAAAAAAAAAAAAAAAAAGGTGGCCAGGTGCGGTGGCTCACACCTGTAATCCCGGCACTTCGGGAGGCTGAGGTGGGCAGATCACCTGAGGTCAGGAGTTTGAGATCAGTCTGACCAAAATGGAGAAAACCTGTTTCTACTAAAAATACAAAATTAGCCAAGCATGGTGACAGGTGCCTGTAATCCCAGCTACTCAGGAGGCTGAGGCAAGAGAATTACTTGAACCTGGGAGGCGGAGGTTGCGGTGAGCTGAGATCGCACCATTGCACTCCAGCCTGGGCAACAAGAGTGAAACTCTGTCTAAAAAAAAAGGTACAAAAAGTATCTTTTCTAAAACTGACTGCAGGGGAGAGAAGACTCCCATGTAAGAATTTGACTCAACTGGCCTGGCCCGGTGGCACACGCCTATAACCCCAGCACTTTGGGAGGCCGAGATGAGCAGATCACGAGGTCAAGAGTTCAAGACCAGCCTGGACAACACGGTGAAACCCCATCTCTACTAAAATACAAAAAATTAGCTGGGCCTGGTGGCAGGCACCTGTAATCCCAGCTACTTGGGAGGCTGAGACAGGAGAATTGCTTGAACCCAAGAGGCAGAGGTTGCAGTGAGCCGAGATTGTGCTGTTGCACTTCAGCTTGAGGGACAGAGCAAGACTTCATCTCCAAAACAAACAAACAAACAAAAACAGAAGAATTTGGCTCAACTGCCAACTCCCTGGTATCTAGAATTCCAATAGATTAATCTGCCTGTATTGATTCAAAGATGCCAATGGAAAGATGTGTTTAGTGTTTATGATTACACCTTCCATCTGCATTCACCATAGACCTGTAGTAGAAAGCTATGCTCTCAACTGCAAGTGCGCCACTCATAGAATAAGGATTTTTTGGCCAATGTTGATCCCTTAGCGTCAGCTAACCGTGTTGTCTCCACTACTCCTACTGTGTTGCAGGAATGTGGAGATACAAAGCTGGGCAGATGGCTATCAGTAAGGAATCCTGCCTGCCTTAGCTGTCAGTGCCAAGGAGATCCTGTAGTGAGTGATGGCTCATTGGACTGAATTACAAGATAAACGCAGAAAGTTACTTGAAAATGTAAGCGTAACGTCAGTTTCCAAACTGGTCAGTCTTTTCTTTCTTTTTTTTTTTCTTTTTGATGGACAATTTTAAGAAATAGATAAAATGTTACAAACATGTTTGAAGTTCCTTCCAATTCTATTTCCTTCCTTACCCCTGAATTTGGTGTTTATTAATGCCATACAAACTTTTTATATTTTCTTTATATATGTGTCCATAATCAATAACTTGTATTGGTTTGTATGTTCCAAACTTTGTATGTGGTATCATACTGACATTGTAGACGTCATTCTGTAACTTGCTCTTGCACAAATTATGTTTTTGAGATTTATACATGTTGATAATGCAGTTACTCATTTTCTCTATAATACTCATTTTTTTTGTTGTTGTTTTTGTTTTTTTGCTTTTTTTCAATTTTTTGTAATATTCATTTTCTCTGTAATTTCATTTGTAAGTAGCCGGGCGGGGTGGCTCATGCCTGTAATCCCTACACTTTGGGAGGCCAAGGTGGGTGGATCACTTGAGGTCAGGAGTTGGAGACCAGCCTGGCCAACATGGTGAAACCCTGTCTCTACTGAAAATACAAAATATTAGCTGGGCATGGTGTCAGGCACCTGTAATCCCAGCTATTCGGGAGGCTGAGGCAGGAGAATCCCTTGAACCTGGGAGGCGGAGGTTGCAGTGAGTCGAAATTGCACCACTGCTCTCCAGCCTAGGTGACAGAGTGAGACTCCATCTCAAAAAATAAAATAAGTAATTTCATTTGCTTTGTAATATTCCAGTGAATGAATTAATCAAGTATCCATTCTTTGCTTGAGGGACATTTTTTATTGTTTTCTATTTTTAGCTCTCATCATCATGACTGTCATGAACATTTTTCACATGTCCTTCCATGCATATATACAAGAGCTTCTCTAGGATGTATGCCCAGAGTGAACTTGCTTTGTAATCTTGACTTTTATGATATTGCCAAACAGAATCAAGTTACACTAACATTAAGAGTAGATGAGATTTTCTTAGCTCAACATCTTTGACATTACATATTTATAAATTTCTCTTTGTAGAGATGGGGTCTCACTGTGTTGCCCAGGTTGTTCTGGAAATCCTAGCCTCAAATTATTCTATCATCTCTTTGGGAATCCCAGCCTACCAAAGCTGGGACTCAGGCCTAAGCCACCACACCTGGCTGACAAAACTTGATATTATTGGTCTTTTAAATGTTTCCAATCAAGTAATGTGAAACAACTTTTTGTTGTTTTAATTAGTATTTTTCCATGATTACCATTGAGGTTGAAAATCTTAAGTCAGCCATTCAATTTTCCTCTTCCAGAAATTGCCAGGTTATGTCTTTCATTTTATACTGTTTCATTAAAATGTATCATTTGTCTTTGTCTTATTGATTTATAATGTTAAATGTTCTGAACACTAATCCTTTGTCTCTCTTTGAGTTGTAAATATCTTTCTAGTCTGTGCCTTGTCTTTTCACTTTCATGTTTTCTATTGTTAATGTACAGAAGTTTTGTTTGTGTGCTTACTTTTTTTTTTTAAATGTCCAGGAGTTTTGCTATGGTTGCCCAGGCTGGAGTGCAATGGTGAGATTTCAGCTCACCGCAATCTCTGCCTCCCGGGTTTAAGCGATTCTCCTCCCTCAGCCTCCTAAGTAGCTGGGATTACAAGCAAGTACCACCACGTCAGCTAATTTTGTATTTTAGTAGATACGGGTGTTGGGGGAATGCGGTTTCTCCATGTTGGTCAAGCTGATCTTGAACTCTCAATCTCAGGTGATCCAACTGCCTTAGCCTCCCAAAGTGCTGGGATTACAGGTGTGAGCCACTGCTCCAGGCCTAAGATTTTCAATAAAGTGTTGTACTTTGCTTTGTAAAGTTTTTACATATCTTTTCTTTTTTAATCACTGTAAGTGGTATTTTTATTTTTATTTATTTATTTTGAGATGGCGTTTCACTCTTGTTGCCCAGGCTGGAGTGCAATGGCACTATTTCACCTCAGGGCAACCTCCACCTCCCAGGTTCAAGCAATTCTCCTGCCTCAGCATTCCCATGTAGCTGGGATTACAGGCATGTGCCACCAAGCCTCACTAATTTTGTATTTTTAGTAGAGGCAGGGTTTCTCCATGTTGGTCAGGTTGGTCTTGAACTCCCGACCTCAGGTGATCTCCCTGCCTTGGCCTCCAAAAATGCTGGGATTAAGGGTGTGAGCCACCATGCCTGGTGCTGTAAGTGGTATCTTTTATCAAATTAATGTTGGTCCTTTGTTGATGGAGACAGAAATAAAAATGATTATTGTATAATTGCAGTTTTTTCCCACCTGTTCTCACTTAAAAGGGTTAATAATTTCTAAGATATACTGAAATTTTCTTGTACACAATAACATAGTCTTATATCTTATACCTTCTTGTTTCACTGCAGGGGGTTGACTCGATAAATTAAATGGATAATAGAAAAGCAAGTAGCCCCAAAACTTGTTCTGTTCCTGATTATAAAGAGAACATCTGGCCCAGCACAGTGGCTCACACCTAGAATCCCAGCACTTTGGGAGGCCGAGGTGGGCGGATCACTTGAGGCCAGGAACTCAAAATCAGTTTGGCCAAAATAGCAAAACCTCAAAAATTAGCCTGACATGGTGGCCCATGCCTGTAATCCCAGCTGTTTAGGAATCTAGGAGGCAGAAGTTGCAGTGAGCTGAGTCCCACCACTGCACTCCAGCCTGGGCAACATAGTGGGTCTCCATATCAAAAAAAAAAGAACATTTGAGAATTCTGAAAAAACCTAAATATTACCAAATATCACGAGTATTGCTTCCTCCCTTTTAATGCTTCACAATGTATGGGGAGGGGGGTTGTTCAGAACGCAATAGCTGTTCGAGTGATAAAAATCACTATACATCAACTATCATTTCCATTTTTCAGTATGCCTTTTCTGGACTACCCCACACAACGAACAAAGTAAAAATTATACATCTTCTTAACTTTTGACCAAGTTGGCCAATTTCATATTATCCACAAATGCCACGCTAAAGAATGAACACATACTTAGTCATAAAACAGCAGGCTAACTTCGAAAACAAAAAATCTGACTCTAAACCATTCTGCATTCAAGTGACTCCCTTTGCGCCCTTAAATTGTATTTGTCTGCAAAAAAATAAAGAAAAGAAAAGAAAAACCAAATTTAACACACAGGCGAGTTTTCAGGTTCTCATTTGCTAAACCAACAATGCAGAATTGGTGAAGTAGGGGCAACAAGTTGCTGAACCTGAGAGACGCCTCTAAACGCGCTCAGAGGTTGTTTATTTCAATTGTGCTGTTTGCTAGCTCAGGTACAACAGGCAGAGACAGAAAGACGCCACCGCTCTCTCTGCCCTCCCAGCGCCGGCTCACAGAGAGCGGACTAGGCACTCATACATCCAGACACGTAGCGATCTCGCCGCTTTAAGCCGCTGGAGGCTCTCTGCCCGCCCATAAGTAGGCGGGGAGGCGCGGATTCTGCTGGGAGTTGTAGTTTCGAGCTAGGCCCGAGTGCTTCTTGACTAGTTTCCTTCTGCCCCCACCGCCGCACAGCTGCTTGAGGACTCTGGAGTTGCTGTGTATTGAGCATGGGGCACAGCTGGGGATGAAAAGGGAGAAGGCTCCTTTAATCTCCGGATCGAGGTGGCGTAGAGGAGTGTTAGGTGTTGGAACGCAGAGTAAGCGGTGCGCATGCGCGGCTGCCGCAGGTCGGGGATGCTCCTCCCGCGCTTCTCTCGTGCGGCTGTTCCCTTAGGGCTGGCTGGGTTCCTAGGTAGTGCCTGCGGTGCAAGTTTGTGATAACACAGCTTGCAGGCTGCGGTTGTTAAGGCAGAGATTTGGAGGGGGTTGGTTGGTGGGGTGGGTAGTGTCAGTAACCAATCGCTACTCCATCCTGCCTTTCGGGAACCTCCCACCTCCTACCCTTTCCCAGTTTGCAGAATTGCAGCTTTCCCCATCCCCCTACCCCATCCCTTCGTGGGAAGCCTTTGCAGACTGTGTTGTGAAATCCGCTAGAGCTTCTCAGCCAAGGCCTTTTAGCCCGCCTGGAATTCAAGCTGCCCCCTCCTTGCCAAATCCAGGTCATGCGAGACAGCAAAAGGCTTGAGGCACAGGCCCTACATGGCAGTGTCCCTGTAGTTTTTCTAAACTTATTGTTTACCTTGCTCTCTTCTTCCCCTACAAATTGAGGCAGACTGGCGATAGATTAGATAAATAGATAGATTCCATGTCCTTACATTCACAACAGGCTTTCATAGCTTTCTTTGCTCTGGAAGGTGGCATCATTATACAAGAGGACAAGTGAGAACACATGAATGTAATCAGCGGCAGACCCCGGAACTGAACCCTACAGAGTTCTACGTCTATTTGCGTTTCCTGCCACTTCACAGATGTGTCAGAAAGAGCTGAAGGAGGTGACAACCTGCACCTGATGCTAGCTGGCTTTCGGAATGCTCAGGCCCTGAGCTCCTGGCTCACCACAGCCACTCTTAAATTGACTAGCAATGGCCCGTTAGTGACCTCTCCAGCAAGCCCAGATGATTTTGCCTAGGGTAGTTTCAGATTGAGCACATACACTGTGCAGGGCCCTGGAAAGGTGTACATCAGATCTTAAGTTAAAAGGTTCCTTTACCCCAAAGAGACCAAGCTGTCCTATAAAGTATTCTGTATTTCCCAAGGGATAGGATTTTGTTATGTGATGCTTGTTTGCCTGTTTTTTTTTCTCTCTCTTATTTATTTATTTGAGACAAGGTCTCCCTCTGTCACCCAGGCTGAAGTGCAGTGGTATATATGCAGTGAATCATAGTTCACTGCAAGCTCAGACTCCTGGGCTCAAGCGATCCTCCTCCCATCTCAGCCTCTGGAGTAGCTGGGACTACCAGGCATGTACCACCATGCCCAGCTAATTAAAAAAAAAAAAAAAAATTAGTAGAGGAGGTCTCAGTATGTTACTCAGGCTGATCTCAAACTTCTGGGTTCAAGTGATCTTCCTGCTTCAGCCTCCCACAGCGTTGGGTTTACAGGCACGAGCCACCACACCTGGCCTGCCTGCCTTGCTGCAGTACTATTTTGTTCACCATTGTATTAGCAGTGCTGACATATGGTGGCCTCTTCATATATGTCAAATAGACATATAAATGATGAATGCATGAATCCAGTCTCAGACCTTTATGCCTGTACCCAGAGTCTGTTAAGAGAAGTAGAAATGAAAATAGAGGTAAATGTTTATATAAAGCTTGGGAACAGGAAGGCAGATGCACATAACTGCCTGGCATGGTTCCAAAAGCCTGCATGGAGAAGGCTGCTGAAGGGGGGGCTTTCTGCTGAGCTTTGGAATTGTCCATTATTATATTAGCATATAAGAAGTTATCACACCAAAGGCTCCCCATGAGCTTTGCCTGGGAAAGGGACTGATTATTTAAGAACCGACCAGCACAGGCACGCAGATGCTAACCTCTGCCAGGTGGTCATCCGGAGAAGTTCTGCTTTCCAGGGACTCTGGATTTCTTCAAATATCCTTGGAATGCTCCTTGTGGAAATGGCTTTTGAGTCTACAGCACATTCTTTTGGACCTCCTCAGCACAGGAACATTTCGTTCCTTTCGGGATTTGATAGTTGGGAAGAGCCAGAAGTCCTTTGGCTGCAGGTCTGGAGTATAAGGAAGATGATTTTGCTGCATAATAACTGCTGTTGAAATTTGGAGGAAGGCGTTTGTATGCTGACATAGGGCAAGAGTTCTCATCCTCGAGTCTGTGAAAGTTTTTAGTGTATGTGTGTTTTTATTTTTTTATTTATTTAGTTTTGAGACAGGGTCTCACTCTGTCACCCATGTTGGAGTGCAGTGGTGTTATCTTGGCTCATTGCAACCTCTGAGTCCCAGGCTGAAGAGGTAGATCCTCCCACCTCGGCCTCCCGTGTAGCTTGGACCACAGGTGCGTACCACCACATCTGGCTAATTTTTTGTATTTTTGGTAGAGATCGGGTTTCACCATGTTGCCCAGGCTGGTCTTGAACTCCTGAGCTCAAGTGATCCACCTGCCTCGGCCTTTCAAAGTGCTAGGATTACAGGCGTGAGCCACCATGCCCGGCTATATGTGTTCTTTACTGAGGGATCTTGTTTTTAGCTTTAACAGATTTTCCCCAAGGACTCCAAGATTAAAAAAAGACGAACAACCACTGCTATAGATTCAGGAGATCTTAGGAATTCTTAGGATTTCTTCTGTGGCTTGTAAATGGCACTGAAGAAAAGTCCTATCTTAGGGAAGCAAATGATAGGTTTCAGCTGTGCCTGGAATTGGACGTGTGGTCTCAGTGGATTCCAAAGCTCCAGAACCTTGGTGTTCCCACATATGAAGTAAAGAGTAGAGCTGGGTTAATGGTTTCTATGAGTCTGACTGTAACCCCATGAAATTCCAACAAAGGAATTTCAGAAATGTTCTTCAAAGATAGCAGAATCACTGTACTAGGCATATAATGTAAACTTCCCAGGTGACTCAAATGCAGCCCCAATTTGGATGCTTGTTAGTGTGTTTGCTTGAAGCAGTCAGCCTTTTGGTGTCAGAACCTGGAATCCAACAGGTCAAATCGGAGAGGGAAAGCAGAGGCTCAACAACCAGCCAGACTTGCTCAGAACAGCACAGACTGTTGGGGAAGATCTTATCAAGAAGCAGGAACCTGGAGAGGGAAAACGGTGTTGGAGTATCACTGCTAGGGGTAGGAACCAGCCCAGATGTGCAGTACAGGAGGACAGAAACAAGGATTCTTTTTTTTTTTAGATGGAGTCTTGCTCTGTTTCCTAGGCTGGAGTGCAATGGTGTGATCTCGGCTCACTGCAGCCTCCATCTCTTGGGTTCAAATGATTCTCCTGTCTCAGCCTCCTCAGTGGCTGTGATGGACATGTGTGCCACCATGCCCAGATAATTTTTGTATTTTTGGTAGAGATGGAGTTTTACCATGTTGGTCAGGCTGGTCTAGAACTCCTGACCTCATGATCTGCCCGCCTCGGCCTCCCAAAGTGCTGGGATTACAGGCGTGAGCCTCTGCGCCTGGCCCAGAAACAAAGATTCTGCCTTAAGAGTGAAGGTTCTGGTAGAGGATTTCATTACCAAAAGGGCCAGTTAAAGTAAACTGAATTCACTGAATCCCAGGAGGCTGGAGTCCCATTCTATAAACTAGAATACAGGGTGACCTGAGACTAGGCCAGAAGCCATAGTCCTCAGAATTGGTCCCAGAGCCTGCAGCCAAAAATTCTGACTCCAGCTGTGGGTGTAGGAAACCCTGGGAGCCATTTGAAGTCCGGGAAAAGCTGAGGAGGCCAGTCATTGAAAGTCACCAACCGGTTCATTTTCCCCTCTCTTCCTTGGTTCCTTCTTTTCTTTCTTTCCTTCTCCCTTCCTAGTTTATGTCAGGGAAGGAGAGAGAGATTTTAGATACAAAATGATGCTCTCCAACCTTAAGGAGCTTGCAAACTTGAGATGAATAAAATTTCCCACTTAAGGAAGTAAATGACCAAGTGCTTAGGTGCTAGAAAATAAATCCTACGAGAGAGAGAGAGAGAGAGAGAGAGAGAGAGAGAGTGTGTGTTCAGCAGTTATTCCCTATTTTTTGGGTTTCACAGAGAGAAGGAAATTTCTGTATCATTGGCCTGAAAGGCAGCAGCATGAAGGAACTTCTGAGCTTCTCTCCACCGTAAAGGAAGGGGAGACTAGCCTGGTTGGTAAATTGGCCTGCCTCTTCTCTTTGTGCGTCCTTTATATAGCTAGCCTGTCCACAGGTGATTTTCATTCTGGTCTGCCCTGTGGTGAGCGTGGCCAGACATGTTCTGTCCCGCACAGGGAAGCTGGCAGTTGTTCAGGGTAAGCAAAGATTGGAAAGGTGTGTCAGAAAACCCATTTGGCTGCAGGTCAAACCGCACTGTCCAGGTCAGCTTTATCAACAAATCAAGCTGGTACTTTAATCTCTGATGGTCTGCCTCCTGGTCTTATTTCTCAGTCAATTCCAAACCCAGAAGGAAAAACCAGGAATGGTCCTTTTTGGCGTCCCCAGCCTCTAACATAGGGCAGAGGGCTTTGGTGTCAGTCAGTCTGGAAGGAAGAGCTTAGCCTGGTCATTTCTGCATTGCAGCCTAGAGCCCTTGTTTGCCACAGTACTCTTAAGCCTTTAGTAGCCACTGTTGATCTGGAGGCCTTAAAAAAAACAAGTTTGGGCCAGGCGCAGTAGCACACCCCTCTAATCCCATCAATTTGGGAGCCTGAGGTGAGCAGATCACCTGAGGCCAGGAGTTTGAGACCAGCTTGGCCAACGTGGGGTGAAACCCTGTCTCTACTAAAAATACAAAAAATTAGCCTGGCATGGTGGCACACGCCTGAGATCCCAGCTACTCGGGACACTGAGACATGAGAATCACTTGAACCTGGGAGGCAGAGGTTACAGTGAGCCAAGAACACACCATTGCACTCCAGTCTGGGTGACAGAGTAAGACTCCGTCTCAAAAAAAAAAAAAAAAAAACAAGTTTGGTCTCCTAATTTCTTAAAACTCTGAGTACCCAAGAGTCACCCCTGAAGAGGAAAAAGGAATGGAAGGGGGACCCGCTCCCCCATGTTAATTTGTACAATGAGCAGAGTCAGGAAAGAAACATCAATGCCACTGAGATTAGAGACATAGGAAAAGCCGCCTTCACAGGCTCTCACCTCTCCCTGCTTATATATACGTGGGCTCTTTGCTTCCGTTCAAGCTGTTGACTCTTTCTGAAATTTCTTCCCTCCATTATTTTTACCTATAAAATCCATTCTGAGGAATGCTGTTTCTTCTTCACAAGTTCCTGCACATTACTTAAAACTCTCAGATACCTCCTCCACCACGAACCTTTCTCTGACATTCCATCCACACCCTGCACTCAGTTGTTTACCTGCTCCTCTGAGTGGTCATTGTACCTTGACCTTCCATTCTTTCCGCTGCAGGGCTCTAAAGCCTTGGCCATCTGGCCACCCTCTGTCTCTGGTATGTCTCTACTCTTCTTATTCCAGCCACATTGGTACCAACTGCCTGAGATACTCTTCCTCCTCCCGCTCTACAATCACCGGAAAAGCTCCTTCATCCTGTAATACCCACTCCATTGTGTTCTCTGCAGAAGCTTTCTCTGACCCCAGAAAGAGTTCATTGCCCCTTCACCCTCCATCTTAAGACTCTGCGATTTTTTTAAACATACCTATCACAGCACCAAACACACTAGTGTACATAGAAATTTTTTGTTTATACATCTATCTTCTGAGATAGACTCTGGGTTCCTTTACCACAGAGACCTTTCTTCTCACCACCCTTGAGCGTGGGACTTGATACCCATTAACGTGTTGAATAAATGAATTAATTAATGAATATTTTTCTTTGTCTACATGAGTGCCCTTCCTACTTTATTGTGAAGTCTTTGAGGTTAGGAATAATGGCTTATTCATATCTTACTCCTGATAGCTAGCTTAGTGCCTGGTATATAATAGGCACCCAATAAATATTTTCGTTGAATGTATACATGGATGAATGAATACAGTGTTTTGTTAGTGTCTTCAACCTGATGTATCCTTTCACTCCTTTGAAACCTCAGGCGCCTTGTTTGTGTTTCTCCTGTGGCACTTTCTATGCTTGGACTTGTCTCATTGTCTAATCCCTGCTAGTTGATGGTCAGCTCTTTGAGGCAGGAGCTGGGCCTTACTTCCCTTGGTGTCCCCTGAGGGTTTGTCACAGCATGAGGGGATATATCGAGTGCTCCAAGTTGAACTGTTCTGAGAAAAAGAAAGTATCTGTGATTCATAGCCCCCATTCCAGCAATGAGACGCCCAATAGCGACACATAGTGAAGTTCTTAATAAGTTCACTTTGCTTCATGCACGCTTCATGTTGCCAAACTGGGTGATACAGGCAAGCAACATTGAAAAGACCACATTATTATTATTATTTGAGATGGAGTTTCACTCTTTTTGCTGAGGGTAGAGTGCAATGGCACGATTTCATCTCACTGCCACCTCTACCTCCCTGGTTCAAGTGATTCTCCTGCCTCAGCCTCCCTATTAGCTGGAAATACAAGCACACACTACCATGCCTGGATAATTTTTTGTAGTTTTAATAGAGACAGGGTTTCACCATGTTGGCCAGGCTGGTCTTGAACTCCTGATCTCAGGTGATCCACCCACCTCGGCCTCCCAAAGTGCTGGGATTACAGGTGTGAACCATTACACTCGGCCATGAAAAGACCACGTTATTTCATATTTGTTTTATCTGTAATGCTCTGTATTCATTGGTGCCCAGTCAATATAAGTTTCAAATAAATAAGGATATGAAGCTATCTAAGTATGGATGAGCCCCAAAATACAAAAACACAGCAGAAAGATGAAAATCACATCAGCTATTAGCTGGGCATGGTGGCACATGCCTGTAATCCCAGCTACTCGGGAGGCTGAGGCAGGAGAACTGCTTGAACCCAGGAGGCAGAGGTTGCAGTGACCCAAGATCACACCATGGGAAGGAAAACAAAAAAAGAAAATGTCATCAGCCCTTGAGGGGAAATGGAAAAGCAGCTCTGTGCATTCCCCTTCAGGGTAGCGGCTTTAAAAGAAGTAAAAAACTTGTTTTTCTCTATAAACACAAAAATTGTTTTGAGTACAAACATGTAGTTTGAAAACTACAGGTTTTGAACTTCAAAAAGTTAAGGTTCCCCTGATCTAGTCATAGCTAGAGAAGATCGGTCCTCAAGATTAGAATCTCTCAATTGTGGAGATTTTTTGTGTTGGCTTTTTACCTGGGCAATTGTTCGCTCTACTCCCTTCCTCTTTTTTCTCTTTCCTTTCCTTTTGCTTTTCTTTCATTCTGCATATTTTTATTGAATGTTAACTCTAAGCTAGGAACTCACTCTTCTAATTGCTTTATACTCATAATTTCTCATGAACCTCATGACAACTCTGTGATGTCAGTATTAGTATCTTCATGTAAGGTGTGACAAAACTGGGGTTCAGATTCAAGAATGTGCCTAAGGCCCCATAGCCAGTAAGTGCTGGGTTCATATTTAAACCCAGGCCTCAAGTTCCAAAGTTTGTATCTTGCTACTTAATTCCTACATTGTAAGGCCCCACTACACAGATCAGTGGTTTCTTCTCTCACATAACTTACAGACAGCTGGGAAGACAGACAAGCAGGTCAGAGATTAATAGAGTAACTATGGAACACAGAGAAGGTCATCTATGCCAGGGCTGAGGGCGGGGAGGAGGATTGGCAATGGCGTCCCAAAAAAAGGGTCACTCAAATTGAGATCCAAAGGATAACTGGGAGTTTGGTGGATCCAGACAGAAGCATCATCTGGACAGAGGTACAGCAAATACAAAAACCCTGGGGGTGGGACACAGCCCAAAACATTTAAGGAACTGTATTTCTTTGGGTAAAAATCTTAGTCATTCTGTTTTCAAATAGTTTCGTTTTTTTTTTATATAGCTCACAGTGGCTAATTGTGCTTTTGTCCGAAAGTGCTGAAGTGTAAGGGTAAGTGGTCATTGAAACGAATTAGGGTTTTCATGTTGGTTTCAAATGCTCTTGAGAGGACCAGTGCACGCTGATATCCAAATAACATTGTGAAGTGGTCAACGCCATGTGCCCTGCTGTTCCACCGAACTCAGACAACTGGGAAAGGACATTAGGATCCTTTAGTGACACAACAGTCTAAAACGTGAAGGGAAAGGAATTGTCATTTATCACTTGCACAGGATATATAAGTGTAAATCATTTTATTCTCATGATATCAATTTGAAGTCAATTTTCAAAAGAATGATTTCAGGAGTCTCCTCAAATACTCAAATTATATTAAGATCTAAGGTAGAAGGTCCACGAGGATCCATTATACCATTTTCTTTAATTTTTTTTTTTTTTTTCTAAACAGTCTCCCTCTGTGCCCAGGCTGGAGTGCAGTGGCATGATCTCGGCTCACTGCAATCTTTGCCTCCTGGGTTCAAGTGATTCTTGTGCCTCAGCCCCCCAAGTAGCTTCGATTATAGACCCTCATGACCATGCCTGGCTAATTTTTGTATTTTTAGTAGAGAGGGGGTTTCACCATGTTGGCCAGGCTGGTCTCGAACTCTTGACCTCAGGTGATTTGCCCAGCTCAGCTTCCAAAGTGCTGGGATTACAAGCATGAGCCACCGTGCCTGGCCTCTCCTTAATTTTGTATAAAATTTTTCATAATGGTTTTCTTCTTTGTAATTTTTAATAGACTGTTTGTTAGAGCAGTTTTAGGTTTACAGCAAAATTGAGCATAAAGTACAGAGAGTTCTCATATGCTCCCTGCCTCTACACATACACAGCCTCCTCCACTAACAACATCTAGTATTGTAGTAGTTTTATAAACAATATAGTCTCAATCACATACAGATTACCCGTGCTCTGTTTATTTTACAAATGTACACTGAGAATCTCACCATTTGCCCGGAATTTTGCTAGGTCTTAGGGCTACAGCAGTGAGCAAAACAAATGTGATCCAGGCTGGGCACAGTGGCTTATGCCTTTAATCCCAGCACTTTGGGAGACTAAGGTGGGCAGATCACCTGAGGTCAGGAGTTCAAGACCAGCCTGCCCAACATGGTGAAACCCTTTCTCTACTAAAAATACAAAAATTAGCCGGGTGTGGTGGCAGGCACCTGTAATCCTAGCTACTGAGGAGGCTGGGGCAGGAGAATCGTTGAACCCAAGAGGTGGAGGTTGCAGTGAGCTGAGATCACACCACTGCATTCCAGTCTGGGCGACAGAGCAAGACTCTGTCTCAAAACAAACAAACAAACATGATCCCTGCCTTTATGTTGGTTATAGTCCGGAGGAGAGAGAGCCATTAAAAGATAATTTCCCGAAAAACTAGTTATAAACTATGATGAGGGAAAGCAAAAGATGCTCGAGGGTCTGTCATAGGATTACTGTCTTTGTACAGGTGGTCAGGAGAGGCTTTGCCAAAGAAAATCAACAGGTAAACTGGGATTTGAAAGATAAATAGGAATTAACTAGGAAAGATGGCAGGGGAAAGTGCTTTAGGCAAATGAAATCACACATGCAAAGCCTTAAGGTGAGAAGGAGCCTGGCATATTTAGGATCAAAGTTGGGCAGAAAATGATAGATGAGGCTGGAGAGCCAGGTGGCAGCCAGAACACTTGGGTGCTACAGGCTATGTCCGAGTGTTGTCTTTGCTTTTACCCAGAGTGATAGGAAATAATGATAGGTCTTACGTGGAAAGTGACATGAATGGATTTTGTTTTAAAACAATGTCTCCGTGCCCCAGAAATGATGGTATTATAATAAAGTGATAGTAGGAAGGCAGAAAAATGGGTGGGTGCCAAAATAGTTTATGAGGTAGAAGCAACAAGACTTGGCATTTGTGTCATAAAGATAGGAGAGTGTTGAGTTTCTAAGCTTGGAAAATGGAATAGATTATGGTGTATGTATTGAGAAAGCAGCAGGGGCGATGGGAAGATAAGGAATTTGCAAGGGCTTTATCGCTATTTTTTTCTTCTATTTCAAATAATAACCACTCTGTGCTAGGCACCATGGTAGGTAATTTATATTCAGTATCATAGATGCCGTCTTATCTGATGCAATAGGAACTGGCAGCAGGTTGATTCCCATACTGTTTCCATAGTAGGATACCTCAACAGACTTTAAAAGATTCTGTTTACTGTCCTCTGTTATAATTTCTAGTGCACATTGTTTATTACCTAGGTACCACCCATTGGCATATGGATATAGGAAGCTCTAAGTATTGCTTTCAACTCCTATCCCACTTCTTTCTTCATGTGACTCACTAGGCAACTCCCACACCATTTTTCTTCTCTCTGAACTATACCTACTCCATGGTAACAGGTTTAACAGGTTTATCTAGGTAAGTTTACTTACCACTTCATGGTCAGTTAAAGTCCTCTTTATCAGGTCAGGTGAACACTGGACAAGAATGTGCTCAAACTCTTCATGGTAGAAGTTCATCTTCTTTGATCCATTATCCCAAATCCTCCATCCCATTACAATTCTATTTTTCTTTTTCTTTCTTTCTTTCTTTCTTTTTTTTTTGAGATGGAGTTTTCCTCTTGTTGCCCAGGCTGGAGTGCAATGGCGTGATCTTGGCTCACTGCGACCTCCGCCTCCCGGGTTCAAGGGATCCTCTTGCCTCAGCCTCCCAAGTAGCTGGGACTACAGACATGTGCCACCACACCGGCTATTTTTTGTATTTTTAGTAGAGATGGGGTTTTTCCCTGTTGGTCAGGCTGGTCTTGAACTCCCAACCTCAAATGATCTTCCTGCCTTGGCCTCCCAAAGTGCTGGGATTACAGGCGTGAGCCACTGTGCCCGGCACAGTTCTGTTTTTCTCTAGCCTCGCTTACCTTACTAAGACACTGCAGTAATTTGCCCACTGTTATAGAAATCAGTCCTCAAATTCTCACTTTCTATTTCAAAGCCCTCATCAGAATAGACTATTGCATTATTTTCATCTTTATTCTAGGTTGCCTCTCTATTTCTTTGAGGCCTTTCTGTTATGGTTCTTGTTCGTAGCAACCAAGAGCATACAGGATGTTTTCATATATGTTGTCCCATTTAATTCCTACACCTCTCTTACACCTCTCTTTCGTTCCTTTCCTCATACCTGGCTTATAATAGTCGTCTAAATATTTGTTGAATTAATGAATGAACTGGGCCAGGAGCAATGGCTCATGCCTGTATTCCCAGTACTTTGGGAGGCCGAGACAGGGGAGGATTGTTTGAATGCAGGCATTTGAGAACAGCCTGGACAACACAGCTAGATCTTATATCTACTCAATATTTTTTTAAAGTTAGCCAGGCATGGTGATACACACCTGTAGTCCCAGCTACTTGGGAGGCTGAGGAGGGAAGAGAGCACTTGGGGCTGGTGGCGTCAAAGCTATAGTGAGCCTGGGTGGCAGAGTAAGATGAAAGAAGGAAGGGAAAGGACGAAGAAGAAGCAAGAAATAAAGAAGAAAGAAGAAAGAAAGAAAGGAAAGAAGAAAGAAAGAAAAAAGAAAGGAAGGAGGAAGAAGTAAGAAAGGAAAGAAAACGGAATGAGAAGGAAGGGGACTGAAGGAGGAGATGAAAGAGAAAGGAAGGGAATAGGAAAGAAAAGGAAGTAATAAGGAAAGAAAGAAGAACGAAAGAAAGAAAGAAAGAAAAGAAAGAAAGAAAGAAGAAAGAAAGAAAGAAGGAAGGAAGGAAGGAAGGAAGGAAGGAAGGAAGGAAGGAAAGAAAGAAAGAAAGAAAGAAAGAAAGAAAGAAAGAAAGAAAGAGACAGAGACAGAGAGAGAAACTCTGTGTTGCTAGGAAATCAAAGCTTTTTTTTTTTTTTTGAGACGGAGGCTCATTCTTGTCACCCAGTCTGGAGTGTAATGGTGCATTCTCAGCTCACTGCAATCTCTGCCTCCTGGTTCAAGAAATTCTCCTGCCCCAGCCTCCTAAGTAGCTGGGATTACAGGCATGTGCCACCACACCCGGCTAATTTTGTATTTTAGTAGAGGTGGGTTTTCTCCATGTTGGTCAGGCTGGTCTCAAACTCCTGAGCTCAGGTAGGTGATCTGCCTGCCTCAGCCTCCCAAAGTGCTGGAATTACAGGTGTGAGCCACCACTCCTGGCCTCAAAGAATTCTTTATTTGGAGAGAGATCAGGCTCTAATTTCTGTCTTAATAGTTTTAACATTTGTTTTCATAAATAACAACCCATCTATAAACTGTTAATACTAATTTTTAACTATTTAAATTTTTACGTTTATAATAAAATAGTTGATTCTGTACGAATGATTCTACTAACTATGAATTTGATACTCCTAAGTGAATTATTGTTTAAATTACAGACAAAACTATACACTACTAGAAAATAACAATTTAAAATAAAATAGTAAAATAATTTGTCTCATGGTATCTCGAAAACACACATCTAGAATTTTAACTTTGGCTGCACATTGAACACAGCTAGATGACTTTTTATAATACTTCAATGCCTCTTCCAGGTTGCATCAGACAGCATATTTTTGCCTAGATGGTGCCATGCTATTGTTTTGTGCATTTGGGTAGCACTTTACATTTCCAAAATGCATGCCAATCATAGTATTAGTATTTCAGCAAAGCCCTGCTGTGAGGTAGCTCAGCATTACTGAAGCCAAGCATAAACAGAAGTATGCAGTTATCAGGAAGATGCTGATGGGGCTCCAGTAAAATATCGATGAACAATAATTCACTTTATTCAAAACAGAAGTTTCTACAGATACATTTCAGCAGAACTGTCAAAACCTCTTTCTGTATCATTTGAATTTCCAGCCTTAGAAATGAACCTTAATTTTCAAAGAAATAAGTGATGATTATATTGGATCTTACTTTCAATGTTAGGGCTTATGTGACTATTTAAAACTTATATACACAAATATTGAAGTTCATGAAGGCAATGTTTAAATCATTATTTCACATATGATAACTCACTTGGATTCTTAGCCAGAGAAATTTTTGAAAGTCAGATTAAAGTAAAACTTAGATGATCTTGTGGCAGAGAATCAGAATCATTCAACTTAATGGATTTGGGATGCCCTCTAATTGCCTGGAATTTGTCATCTTAAAGATGAAATTTTAGTTAATAAGCCTAAAACACTTACCTATCATTACCTATACACAGACCAGCATAGTCCAATAACCTGTTCTAATGCAAGAGATGGCCCTAGTCCATAAAGGACTCAAAGAAAGAGGAGCAAACACAAAAAAATGAAGTGAAATCAGTTGTACAGTTAGAGATTGTATTTGGCTGCCGTGAACAAAACTTGACCTTGAAGGCATAATCTAAAACAAGTTTTTCTCTTATGTAAACAGAGCCTTAGAGCTGGGCACTGAGGCTGGTATGGAGGCCCCGCGATGCCAACCATTACTTGGGTTCTCCCTGTGTCATGGGCTGAACTTCGTCCCTCTCCTCCAAACTCATATGCTGAAGTCCTAAACCCAGGACTTCAGAAAGTGACTTATTTCAAGATAGAGCCTTTAAAGTAGTAATTAAATTCAAATCAGGCTGGTAGGGTGAGCCCCCAACCAATCTAATGGGGCAGTCCACAGAGGGACGCCAGGGGAAAGTTCACAAAACGGAAAAGTCATGTGAGGACACCACAAAAAGGTGGCCATTTGCAAGACAAGGAATCAGGCCTCTGGAGGAACCAAACTCCCACACCTCAATCTTGGACTTCCATGAACTGTGAGTCGCTTATGCCACCCATTCTGTGATACTGTATTACAGCAGCCCTAACGAACGGATTCACCCGGTTGATTTGCTTTGATAGACTCCACATGTGGCCTCAGTTTTGTGATTCAAGGTGGGGCTCTACCTCCAGCCTCCCATCCTTTTTCAAAGAGAAGCTGAAACATGCTAAAAAGGAAGGGGGCAGGCTGGGTGCAATCACTCATGCCTGTAATCCTAGCACTTTGGGAGGCCGAGATGGGAGGATCATTTGAGGTCAGGAGTTCAAAACCAGCTTGGCCAACATGGTGAAACCCCATCTCTACTAAAAATACAAAAAAATTAGCCAGGCGTGGTGGCAGGCGCCTGTAGTCCCAGCTACTAGGGAGGCCGAGGCAGGAGCATCGCTTGAACCTGGAAAGCAGAGGTTGCAGTGAGCCAAAATTGCACCACTGCACTCCAGCCTGGTGACAGAGTGAGACTCCATCTCAAAGACAAACAAAAACAACCTGGGGGTGAGGGAAGGACTCAGGTAGAGGCTGGGGAGTGCTGAAACTCATACCCCTTAGAGACTAAGTGGAATGCTCGAGCTGGCTCTGCCGGACAGAGACACGGAGGGGAGTTTATTAGTGAGCAGCATCTATTAGTATTAAACTATGAGAAATGGAGAACCCCAAATATCAGCGGTTTGAGTGAAAAAGCCTTGTATTTCCCCCTCATGTGAAAGAGGTCTGGAGTAGCCAGGTTTGCCCCATACTACTGCCCTGCTTGCCACATCCACTTCTTGGCCTATGATGACTGTTGAGCTTCAGTCACCATGACTCTTGCAACCAACAGGAAGGAAGAAAGGGAGAGAAAATCGCCTATTCCCTCCCTTTAAGGAAACTTTCTGAAAGTGTCACAAACCATTTCTGCTTATACCCAGAAGTAGTCACATGGCCATTCCTAGCTGGACAGAAGACAAGGACATTTTATTCCGGATGGCCAAGTGCCTGGCTAAAAATGGGGGTAAAGGAGGCTCTATCACCATTGAGAAAGAGATGGAATTAGGAGGAGGATAGTGGCTTCTGTCACACAGGTCCAGGGAGTTAAGAGCCTATGACAGCCTTGCTGAAAAGATCCAGTAAACTGCTGTGAAGACTACAGGATTCGCGTGATGCTGGTCAGGTGATTTCTGGTGTAGCATTTAAGCTAGATTCTCACTTCTCAAGTGTAGTTCATAGGCCAGCAGCATGGACATCACCTGGAAGCTGACTAGAAATGCAAAATCAGGCTCAACCCCAGTCCTGCTAAATCAGAAGCTGAATTTTAACAAGATCCCAAGTATGGGGCTAGAAGATCTCAGAGAAGAGAAAAGTTAGAAACTGGGGAGGTTGGCAGCACAGACTAGAGATTTGGGAGTCTTCTAGGTCAGGCGATAGGCTTCTGTGTGCCAGTTAGCTCCTTAAGGAAGTGAATGTGAGGCAGGAAAATAGGGAATTAGGGTAACCAAGGGTTAAGGCAGACGCAAAAAACAGCAGATGCAGCCAGTTCTAGGCAAGATTAAGCAGCACACAGGCCACATCCTCACTCCTGTGATAACAAGATAGAAGTTTCCACTTTAGCCTCTGATTGACCACATGCCAAGTCTCCACTTCAGACTCTGATTGGCCATAGGCCAATTCTTCATAGGGTGAAGCCAATTGGAGGCCTCTAAAGGGCACCTAGGTGTGTTACCAAATTCTTTTAGTTTAATAAAAACCTTAAAGAAGATTGTAATTCTGCCATGCTTGGTGGCTTACACCTATAATCTCAGCACTTTGGGAGGCCAAGGTGGGCGGATCACTTGAGGCCAGGCATTGAAGACCAGCTGGCAAACTTGGTGAAACTCCGTCTCTACAAACAAACAAACAAAAACCAGAAATTAGCCCAGTGCGGTGGTGCACACCTGTGATCCCAGCTATTCGGGAGGCTGAGGCAGGAGAATCACTTGAACCGGGAAGCAGATGTTGTAGTGAGTTGAGACCATGATACTGCACTCCAGCCTGGGCGACAGAGTGACACTCCATCTCAAATAGAATAACATTGTAATTGGGGCTCTAGAGCCACTTGTTGGAGCTTGATCCCACTCTGTGGAATGTGTGCTTTTGCTTCAATAAACCTGCACTTGCATTCTTTCTTTCTTCTCTCATTGCTTCATTCTTTTGTTGCTTTGTTTATGCATTTTGTTCGATTCTTTGTTCAATGTGCCAAGAACCCAGAGAACTCAGTCAAGACTTTCCATCCTGTAACAAATGCAGAGGTGGCCAGAAAGCTGAGTGCTTCAATTCAGGGATGAGAGTGGAAGAAATTGCCAGAAAAGAACTAGGAAGAGGAGAAAGAAAAGCACTTAGAAAGAAGGCAGTCTTGAAAACAAACTTTAAAAGAGTATCGATGAAATACAGATTCAATTACCCTGTCCTGTGGACCAGGCAGTCCTTAATCCTCAGAACAACCTTGAGTGGTAGAAACTGTGATTCCCACTTCATGAAGCTGAGCTTCAGAGATAATGCCTTGCCAAGATCACACTAAATACTGACATAGCTCGCTATAATATCTTGCAGAGAAATGACCAGTTTACAAAGCACGATTAAATACATTATCTAATTTAAGCCTTGTAATTACTTTGTGAAGTAAACAGAAAGTGACCTTTTTTTTTTGGAGACAGAATCTTGCTCTGTCACCCAGGCTGGAGTGCAGTGGCATGATCTCAGCTCACTGCAACTTCTGCCTCCCAGGTTCAAGCGATTCTTCTACCTCAGCTTTCCAAATAGCTGGAATTACAGGTACCTGCTACCATGCCCAACTAATTTTTACATTTTTAGTAGAGATGGGGTTTCACCACGTTGGCCAGGCTGGTCTCAAACTCCTGACCTCAGGCGATCTGCCCACCTTGGCCTCCCAAAGTGCTAGGGTTACAGGCTTGAGCCACTGTGCCAGACTGTGGCTGTTATTTGAATATTGCAAGTAATGAATTCCAGGACTTTTGAATCTCAGTCCAATGTTGTTTTGTTTTTCTCTTATTTTTCTTCCCTGATTTTCTGACACATTGATGATAATGAAGAATAGATGTGATTCCTCACATCTGAATTTAACTGTTTGTGAGGGTCTAGTTCAGGGACAGACATTCGGTAAACCCTCCAATGATAACTGATATTGTTGTTTTTATTATAATTACAACTATTGGTTTTGCTCAAGAAAGCAATATTTATAAAAGTAATTTATTAGAGTGAGGAGTACAGAAACCAAATATGGAGGGGAAATTTGAATGAAGATACAGTGTCAGCAATGAGGGAAGGAACTCTAAATGATACTTCAAAGCCTGAACTTTGGAGTTAGACAGTTGTAAACAGCCCATCACCTCCACTTCCTCATCTTCAAGGCTGACACTTCATGAGATATTATGAAGATTGAAAGAGATAAAGTATATAAGATGCTAGCCCAGTGCTCAAAACAAATATTTAATAATTATAGCTATTATTAAGTCCTGGTTATGGATGGAAGAGTGAACTTGGTGGAAGTCAAAGCAGCAGCAGATATGAGAATCAAATAATCTACATTGACTGCTCTGAGTGTTTATCAGTTTATAGACTTTCTTTATGTCAACTCTAAAAAGAATAGTCTCTCTTCCTCAGGCCCACAGTTTTTATACTCTAATTATAATTAACTTGCCTTTTAGTGATGCTGCCCTCATGACTGATGTTTCCAAGTTGTAGATTTTTAAATTTCTATATTTGCCGTAAATGTATTTGGTAACTGAATCTAGCAAATGAGGACAAAACAAAGAGTCGTGGTCCTTTACCTTTAATGTCTATGAAGTGAAAGAGATCAAAGGGGAAACTGAACTTACTGTCTCATTGAGAAGCTTTGGCACAATTTATGAAGGTGACAGATGTTCTGCTTCCTAGAACCTTTTTGTTCCATCCCCAAAATCTATATTTTTCCTTTAGTATATTGATTTCTAGTTACAGAACGGGAATGGCTATTAAATATCTTCATTTGGGAGCTTGGGGGTGCCAGAATGTGAGAAGAAAAATGCATCAGTAGCTAAAGGACAGTTGATGGGATGGGTGGAGAAGGGCCCAAGAGAAGGTAATCTGTGTCTGGGAAATTATTTACAATTTGAAAGGCACAGAGAGTTGCCAGAGAAAAAAAAGAGGGAGCAAGTGAGAAAAGCAACCAATCACATGAAGCCCTTTGATGGATGAGGAAGGTACTTTTAAATACAAGAAAGTACTTTCCCCATCAGCCAGATGGCTCATCTCATCTCTCTTTGCAGCTAGCAGCACAGGGGAAAGAAAGATCTAGTGTAAAAAAATCATGGAATAATCTGTTGTGAATAAGCTGATGCAAACCAATTACAAATCGAAGTGTTCTTCTTTTCTGTTTTGATGAGGGGACACTGATTTCTCTTTGGGGGTGGGGTTGGATTTTGACTATCAAAATGTTGCTGGTAATTGAGGTGATTGATTATGAACAATCTTCCAAATGCTGTTTTTATTAGCATTGCAAATAACATTCTGTAGGGTATTTATAGTTTCAAAGCATCCTCACCTGCATTCTCTGATTTCATCTTATAAATAGCCCTGTGAGGTAGGTGTCATTATCCTCATTTATACATGAGGAAAGTGAGGCTTAGAGAAATCAATTAACAATAGTCTCCAACCTTGGGTCTGTTTTACTACTTTATCTTTCTTTGGGTCTTCCAACAAATGGTAATCTATGGGCATGGTTCTCACAAAGAGCTTTGTTTTTCGGTGGAGGAGGGGCAGGGGGCATCTCCAGGTTTCCATAATGTGTTTTCCCTCCAACCCAATTCTATGATCCTTGGCATCTCTCAAAGGCCTGAAGAGCCCATCTGAGGTGGCCTGGAGGGACCTGGAGTGAGGGTGGGTGCTAGGAGTGGAAAGAGCTGCGCAGTCCTACCAGCAACTAAGCTACTGCTTCCCTTGGCTTCAGGGGACCCTGTGTCCTGGTGACATCCCTGTTCCCTTGCCACGCCCTCTCTTGTGTCCCCTTAGAGCCCCTGGGCTGCTCTCCAGCCATCCTAAGTATCCCATCCCTCCAAAGTCTGTTTACTTCCATCCCCCTCAGGACATCGCTGCCAGGTAAGCAATCACTTTTTGCACATGGCTATCTCCTTGAGATGATTTTTAGCTTAGGGAACAAACAGCCAGGGAAGAGGATGTCTTTCTTGACCACACTGGACATGCTTCATGGGCAGAAAGCCTCCAGGCTTGAAGCTACTTCTCCACTTCCTCCCCTCCTGATAACTTCCTAGCCTGGTGGAACCTCTTCCATAATCAGTGGTCAATAAGCTTAGAATTGTGTCTGAACCTGGAGGACAGGGAGGCTTGGATCAGCTTGGCAGTGCAGAGTAATGCCAGCTACAGTTACAGAGACCAGAATAGTTATTAGTTAGAATATAGATTTGCCTGTATTTGAACTTTGGCACCACCACTTGCTAACTGTGCTACGTTCTCTGTGACTCAGTGTATGCATTGTTCAAGTAGGGTAATAATAGTGCCTATACAGTTATAATGAGGATTAAAAGTGCTATATATGTAAAGAAATGTTCTTGGCATGCGAAAACGCTCCATAAAGATTAGATCAATTAAATTGTTTAAATTACTACTTTTTGAAGTGCCTACTCTATGCTAGGTTCTTTACATGTGAAATTCAGATGTCTGCTGGGGTTGTCTTGAACCCTCAGATGGAGATAAATGGTTTAGACCTCCTTTTCTATGGATTATGGTAAACCAGATAATCTTCCCATGACTTCTTGGAATTCCAAAGGGTTCCTTATATTTCTTGATTAGCTCAGGCTCCCAACACCAGCTTCTTCAGAATTATTTTCGTAGGGGATTGTTTTGCTGTTCTCCACATTGTATATCACAGATGTTTTACTTAATATTCACAGGAAATTTACCAAGGCATTCATGTACATAGTGACATTTATGTAATCTTTGGAAAAAGGAAGGTTTTACATTACAAGAACCCAATCAATTTTAAATTCAATATCAGTCATGTCTATTCTTTAAGGCCTTAGACATGGCCCATGTTTTAGGATCTGGCCTTCTGCTGAATTCCTTAATCCTCCTCTCTTCCTTTTTCCTAGTGTCTCAGTCCATTCAGGCTGCTATACCAAAATCCCTTATGCTGGGTAATTTATAAACAATAGAGATTTATTGCTCACAGTTCTGGAGGCTGAGAAGTCCAAGATCATGGTGCCAGCATGGTCAGGTTCAGGTGAGGGTCCACTTTCTGATTCATAGGTGGTAACTTCTCACTATATCTTAACATAGTGGAAAGGACAAATGAGCTCCCTTAGCCTTTTTATAAGGACACTAATCCCATTCATAAGGGACCTCTCCCCATGACCTAATCACTTCCTAAAGGCCACATATCTTAATACTATTGCATTGGAGACTAAGTTGAAACATCTAAATTTTGGGGAAACACAAGCATTCAGACCATAGCCTCTACTATCTTTCCTCCTTAAGCCTTCACTCCAGATTGCCCCAGACTCCAAATTCTTGTTTCATAATGCAGAAAAATCCATTAAGTTTTCTCTAACCAGCTGTTTAAAAACGTGGCCAGCTGGGTGCAGTGGCTTATACCTGTAATTCCAACACTTTGGGAGGCTGAGATGGGAGGATTGTTTGAGGTCAGGAGTTCGAGACCAGCCTTAGTAACTTATTGAGACCCTGTCTCTACAAAAATTAAAAAACTAGTCAGGTGCATTGGCATGCACCCATGGTCTCAGCTACTCAGGATGTTGAGACAGGAGGATTGCTTGAGCCCAGGTGGTGGAGGCTGCAGTGAGTCATGATGACAACACTGTGCTACAGCCTGGGCAACAGAGCAAGACCTTGTCTCTTAAAAAAAAAAAAAAATGGAAAGAAAGAAAAAAGAAAAGCCTGGCTAAACTTTTAAAGACCACTACTCTGTCACTCAAAAGCCTTGCTAAAGATTTTAAAACTATCCTTTTTAAGAACTTCATTAAATTATTGGCCAGAGATTAAATCATTCTCATCTGTGTTTGTATGTAGATGGAAAACAGGAGAGGTTTTTTGTTTTTGTTTTTTAATTTTCTTGGAGATAGTCTCACTGTGTTGCTCATGCTGGAGTGAAGTGGCATACAATCTTGGCTCACTGCAACCTCCGCCTCCCGGGTTCAAGCAAGTCTCATGCCTCAGCCTCCTGAGTGGCTGAGATTACAGGCTTGAGCCACTATGCCAGGCTAACTTTTGTATTTTTAGTAGAGGTGGGGTTTTACCATGTTGGCCAGTTGAACTCCCGACCTCACATGATCTGCCCACCTCAGCCTCCAAAGTGTTGGGATTACAAGCACGAGCCACTGCGCCTGGCTGAGGGTAGTTATTAAACCATAATTTATTAATTGAGATAATAAATTATCTCAATTAATTCTCACAGCAATACTGCAGGGTAGGTCTGATTCCCCTCAATTTTATAACTGGAAAACTAAGAACCAGATAAATTAAAGAATACACTCAAGGTCATCTAGTTGCAAAGGGGTGAGCAGAGTCAAGACCATGGGACCATGTCAGTCTGATGCCAAATCCCTCACTGTTTTCATTACACTGCACTGCCTCATATGTTATGCTTGGTCTTATGAATCTGAAGTATCCCAAGGTGGTGACAGAAATTACTGCAATTCCCTTCTGAGGGAGCCAGTTGCATCTTGGACAACCCCAAGCTGTGCTCCTGGCTTCCATCTTAATGTAGATGTCCATGTCTTCATACATGATGCCCAGACCTGAGCCCAGCCTTCCAGGTGGGATCTGAGCAGAAAACAGAAACCACCCACTATATTCTTTACTCTGGATTTCTAGTTGTGAAATCTGAGGTCCCTTTGGCTCCTTGAACCCAAATTGCATTGCTGATTCTTCCTTGGTTTTCAGCCAGTGGAAACCCGTAAAACAAAACAAAGGTTTGCCTTAAGTTCTGGAGTCAATCCCAGGATGAATCCTTGCTTCACCACTTCCTATGAGAATTTAGACAACTCAGTTCTCTTATTTAATCAACGGTATTGTTGATTACACAAAAAGAGACAACAATACTATTTATCTCATAAAATTGTTAGAAGAATTAAATAAATTAATGCATGCATGATGCTAACCCAGTACCTGGAACATTGTAAAGTTCAACCAACATTAGCTATAACAGTAATATTTACAAATGCCCATCTCTTCTACCTCCAGATAAATTTGATCTCTCCACTTCCCCATCTTCCCTACTTCTAACACACAAATCTATTACTAAACACACTCTTCTAAAGCAGAAAGTCTGGCCTTAGAAACCCTAAATTCAGTTCTTTTTTTTTTTTTTTTTTTTGAAATGGAGTCTTGCTCTGTCACCCAGGCTGGAGTGCAGTTGTGCGATCTTGGCTCACTGCAACCTCTGCTTCTTGGGTTCAAGGATTCTCCCACCTCAGCCTCCTGAGTAGCTGGGACTACAGGCATGTGCCATCACACTTGGCTATTTGTTTTTTGTATTTTTAGTAGAGATGCGGTTTCACCATGTTGGCCAAGTTGGTCTCAAACTCCTGACCTCAGACAATCTGCCCGCCTCAGCCTCCCAAAGTGCTGGGATTACAGGTGTGAGCCACCACCCCCAGCTGGATTCAGTTCTATCATATGCCAGCTGCATGACCTTGGGCAAGATGCTTAACTTCTCTACGCTGCAGTTTCTTCCTCTCTAAAATGGAAACCATAACTGTGTATTCACTAAACTCACAGCATCATCATGAGGATTACATAAGGTAGAAATATAAGGAAACTCCATAATTATTGGTACATTATATCCATTCTCCGTATAATGATGTTGGTAGTTTCTTTTAAAACTAATTACAGGTCATTAATCTCTATCAAAATGTATAGACTCATTTAGAATTTATCACATTGCTCTACATTGCTTCTCTATGTTCAGCCTTTCTCATGTGATACATTTATCTGTTTGTGAGTTTTTTAAAACTCTATTCATATTAAAATGAAAGCGTAGGATTCTTATCCCTTCTAGTCACAAATTTTCTTTTATTCATTAAGATTAAAAGAAACAGCTCTACATTGTTCACTGTACTTGGGGCAATGGCAGAGTCAAAGAAATATAATTTGGGGTGTGTGCCCTCGAGTCTGTTAGTCCTTTGGAGAAATGACCTACATTCTTAACCTTGAATGTAATATATATATATATATATATATTTTTTTTTTTTTTTTTTTTTTTTGAAAAGCAGTCTCCCTCTGTTGCCCAGGCTGGAGTGCAGTGGCAGGATCTCAGCTCACTGCAATCTCCACCTTCTGGGTTCAAGTGATTCTTTTGCCTCAGCCTCCCAAGTAGCTGGGATCACAGACGTGCGCCGCCATGCCCGGCTAATTTTTATATTTTTAGTAGAGACGGGTCTCACTATGTTGGCCAGGCTGGTTTCAAACTCCTAACCTCAGGTGATCTGCCTGCCTTGGCCTCCCAAAGTGCTGGGATTACAGGCATGAGCCACCGTGCCTGGCCCAAATGTTAATATCTTGAAACAATTATGCATCGTGTCAAACAAATCTGGAAAACCTTGAAGTCTCCAATCACAGAACAAACTTGTAACTTTAGTGGCAGTTGTCTTTAACAATATTCCCTGCAGGCTCTATCTGAAATGGAGGAGACATGACATTACAGAATTGCAAAATCTTAGGATTCATCACCTAACTTTAATGCTGAAGGGTTTGGAGGTCATTCAGACTAACCCTCATGTTTTACAGTTGAAGATAATGATACTGGAGAAGCAGAGGGACTTACTCCAAATCATCCACCGGTGGCAGAGCCTGGACAAACCGATGTCTCCTCCCTTCACTCCTTTGGGGTTGTTGCTGGACTGCAGGGACCCGAAGTAGGTAGAGAAGGATATAGGCCACCGGAAGAAGAGGTATTTTGCAGGAGTATGGTTTTTCCTGCTCCTAAATCGGTGGGATGTCAGAGAAGGGAGGATCTCTGGAGCAGAGGGGCTAACAAGGTCTTCTGAAAACCATCACTGAGGGTGCTGTGGTTGGGAACTCGAAACCTTGCCAGACAGTTAAAAGCATTTCTGCGAATGTGGTTTCTGAGGGCGAAGAAGCCCTCCCCCGCCCCAGCGCCGGCCCTGCCCGCCGAGTGCCCGACAGTAACCCCGAGGCGCGCTGCAGCCCAGGCGGTGTTCAACGTAGTCATCCGGAAGACAAAAACCAGAAAATGTGCGCCTTCTCATTTGAAACCTGGTCGTTAGGTCTGGCCCTTCCCCAGCAGAAATGGGAACATTTAGTTTGCGCCCACGTGGCTCTTCCGCGGGCGTGTGCTCCACTCGGAAGCCCGGAGCTCTGTCTGGAATAGGCCTAGCTCCCTTCCCCTCTGCCTTTTGCGGGAAGAAGGTTGTGGGGCAACCGGCACAGCTGAATAGGGGCCAGCTGTGGGAAAAGGGAGAGGGGGACAACAGATGGGAGGAGGCGGAACGAGGGGTAATGGAGCGTCGGGGCCAGGGTGGCAGCTCAGAGAGCCCAATGTAGCCCAGCCATACCCAGAAGTTAGGGTGCGTCTGCAAAGCTCACACCCTCCATTTGAGAGCGGAACCGAAACCATCTCAAGATAGAAGCTCCGGACGCCCAGCTGCGGCGGGCTGCGGGCGGCGCGCAAGCGCGCGGGGCCCGGAATTTGACCTTGAGTTACCCCGCGCGCAGAGTCGCGGCGAAGTAGGTGAGAGGTAACTAGCAGACGCTGCTCCGGGCGACAGCCGCGGCGCGCGTGCGCGAGGCTGGTCCTTGGGCTCCGTTCTACTCCAAGTTTCTCCAAGTCTGCACTTCACTAAACTGTGGGTGTGTCATGGGCCAGTTCTTGAAGTGATGGAGTGGGGACATCGAACAGATTTGGAAAATTCCTATCACCCACTCCTCTATGGAGAAATGAGGTCCAGACGCGGTGCAGGGGAGAGAACCACCTACTGAACGTCATGTGTGTGTGCGGCGGGCACGGTGCTGGGCGCCCTTCTTAATTCTCACTACCCTTTGAAAGACCTCAAAATGACCTCCCATGGAAGAGAAACCGAGCCCTATGAGTTCATTTAATTTGCCCAAGGTCATCCAATCAGTTAAGGGCAATTTCCATGAAAGGTCCGAGCTTCAAGGTGGGTTTTTGTCCCTAATACACACAAATGACACCTGTAGCACATTTGGCAAGGTACCCTCATAGGCATTATTCACTCCATCCTTACCAGAAACCTATGAGGTAGTAGGTATTATGGCTATTTTCTTTTTGCAG